TTCGCAGCTGAATTCGAAAAAAAACACTTTCAAGAAGTTGGAAGAGCGAAAAAAAAAGCTTTGAATTTTTTTGAAACTGAAGGATTTTTCGAAATTTTAGATCCTTCGAATTTTTTCAATTTTCTTCCCTTAAAATAATTTAAAAAATTTAAAACCAGTGTTTCTTACTCAGCTCGATGTATTCTATCCAACCATGTGTAAAAAAAACAGCAAAAAATTCTGTTGCAAGTTCACATTTCCGGCACCTTATTTAGATGCAGTTAAATGACACTATTGATCAAATGATATATATATTCATTGTTCGTTCTCAAATTTTCAGCCCTATAATCCTTAGAAAAAGAATAAAATTAATGGCAATATAAATTCTGAAATTAGACGAATATGTCAAGCCAAATTACAATGATCAATATTCACGGTTACGAGCCAGATAGTTTAGATCAGTTAGACTACCACAAACAGCAGATTTAGACCAACGAGAATATTTTTTCAGGCTTCAATCGAAACATTTATGATGAAATGTGGCCATCCACATTTATGATGAAATGTGACCATCCACATTTATGATGAAATGAGGCCATCCACATTTCATATCTGTTATCCTAGTTAGTTGACTAATGCATGTCAAGAAAAATTATCTGAATTCATTTGTGATTGTATTTAAAGAAGTGTTTGATATGTTAGTATACGCTAAAAAGAAAATTGAATCCTCATCGAATGACAGTCAAAAAGGCAATCTCAATCAGTTAAAAGTGAAAAAATGAAAATGTTGTGATGTTTTCATTTTATTTGTTCAATGTCATATATAATAAGCTTGAGAAATAAAAAGAAATTTGATTTCGTACCTTTTACCTCGTTTCTTCTATGTAACTTTTGATGAAGTCGCATATCCAATATGTTTTCTATTATTTATACATTGTTTATTTAAGAATTATTTATCATTTCCACAACTTGTTCAAACCCGTTGATCAATGCGTTTACCATTACCTACCGATGTTAAAGGTGCACAAGTGATTGATCGTGAAAAATTTAATATTACTATTCAAGTACCGTGTATAACAGTACCAGTAGAACAAATACGAAAATTTGATTGGAAAAATTCATCATTAGACATTTGTCAATTGAAATGTATTCAAGATTTAGAACCCATATCAAAAACACATAAACAAATATTGTTTGATCCAGATATGATAAAAAATGTAGAAGATATTGTCAAATTATTACCATCATCAATTGATAAAAGTGAAATTGAACAATCATTTCATTATAAACAAATTAATATTACCTATAAAAATTATAGCGTGGATGAAATTGTTCGAGCAATACTGTCTAATGATATATTAGAACAAAATGTTAATACCGGCAGTGGTTATAGTCAAATTGGACATATAGCACATTTCAATTTGAGAGATGCCGTATTACCGTACAAACATATTATTGGTAAGTTATAAATAATCGATGCTACGAGTCAGTCTGTGAATATTATTCTTTCTTTTTTTATTAAGCTCAAGTTATTTTGGATAAACTTTCAAGTATAAAAACTGTGGTGAATAAATTACATAAAATTGATAACGTTTATAGAAATTTTGACTTTGAAATATTAGCGGGTGAACAGAATACAATTGTAACATGTAAAGAAAATAATGAAACTTTTAAATTTGACTTTGCCAAAGTTTATTGGAATCCACGTCTTGGTAAGTTCTGTTGTTGTTGTTTTTCAAATTAGAATAAGATGTCTCTATAACAGTTTGCATTATCACTCCGATGGCCCGAGAATTTTCAATTTTCGGTCAAGAATTTTCTCAGCTCCGACTATTATTTGAGTTTCGTTTTTTGAAATTAGTTTTATACTAAGTTTTTGCATGAAATTTTTGATGATATATGAGTTTTCGTCTTATTTTAGGCAGTGAACGTGAACGTGTTTTAAAATTAGTTCATTCAAGAGATTATGTATTTGATATATTTTCTGGTGTTGGTCCATTTTCAATACAAGCCGCGCATAAAGGTTGCACTGTCTATGCTAATGATATCAATCCTGAATGTGTAAAATGGATGGATCTAAATTATAAATATAATCAATCAAAATCAAAAGGTCGTCGGTATGGTGATCATAAATCGTACAATTTAGACGGACGAGAATTTTTAACTACTATTGTTTTTCCGCAAATTGAACAAATTCAACATGAAATTTTGAGTAATGAAGAAAAATGTCAGCATTATTCAAATGATAAAATTGTTCTATTCATGAATTTACCTGAAATAGCTTTAACATTTCTCGATGTATTTCTCGCATGGTTATCGAAACACGAGGATAATAATGGAAAATGGATGTTACCTATTCACATCTATTGTTATACGTTTTCAAAAGATGAAAATAAAACGCATGATATTACAGAACGTTTAGAAAATATACTACCCGGTGTTGAATGTGACGATATACATTTTGTAAGACAAGTATCACCCAATAAAGATATGATGTGTGTGACAATTAAACTGTTTGAGAAGAAAAATGAAAAAAATAAAAAAGCACCTAACTGTGATAATAATGAAATTGAGGAAGAAAAACAAGATGTTAAAAGATTTAAACAATCTGTATAAGATATTATATTATATAGACTTTTTTTCGTTCTGTTAATAAATCTCAACGACATCTTGTATCTTCTGGTTTATTATGGCACTGATATTTTGTGTGTGTGTTTAATTTAATAGACTAAATAAATAATAATAATATTTAATGGTTTAATCTTACAGGATTTGTACTTCGAAAAGAAACTGAGGAAGAAATGCGTTGTCTACTTTNTGTATCTTCTGGTTTATTATGGCACTGATATTTTGTGATTTCTATATTTATTCTTTTGAAAGTTGACCTCAAAGCTAGATAGGTATTACTTGAATACAATACAATCCCCTTCAATAGACGATCGCTGCTGACCATTTTTTCCTGAGGTCTCCTCCACGGTTTTTAGCCCAATATCGACTTGAGTTGCTCGCCATAATAGAGATCATGGTAGTCTTCTATTGTGTGGATTGTGGGGGGTTAAGCTTTATAAAAAGTTTCGTTTTTGATTCTACTGTCATTAAGTGAAACTAACTTCCAGGGTTAGTAGTTTCTTGT